GCAGACCTGACTCTGAGATCAGAGACAGACAAAATGGCTCCCAGAGAACAGAGAACGCAGCATCAGGGCACTGTCATCTCCCCTCACACAGCTGTCAGCTGACACCAGCCGCCACACACGTCTGACACACACATACACACCCTTAAAGGCTAAGCCACCTGCAAAATGCCAGAGTGAGGGGAACAAACTGAGGATGATGGCTAATAATGTTGATCATCAAGTTGCTATAACATGGGCATGTTTTTTTTTGGAACACTCTTTTAATGAAACAGATAAAATAGGCTACATTAATGACAAAGCGGCTCAACACAGAGCCTTTTTATGAGTTAATCCTTTCACCCATTGGCCTGTGTGAACATGTGACGCGCTTGCCGCTGAAGTTGCCTTGTTGCAGTGTGTCTGTGTTCGCCTGCCAGAGAAAATCCTGAGCAGGGAATTCACCCAGTGAGTGAGACAATACTGTAGGGCAGCATGAAAACAAACACACCGGCTCACTGAGGCCACAAGAGGGCGCTGTTATCAAAGGACAACCTCTGATTGTAGGTCAGTTATAATTTCTTCCCCCTGTAATGATGCATGGTGAAGTCCTGACTGTAAATCATAAGGAGAATGATGGCTCAGTGCGGAATAACAACAGCATCATTTGCATACAGTTTCACTTGTAAATCACATTTGCATAACAGCTTTGATTATTGTTTCTTATGTGAAGCTGGTGTGCTTTTATTTGCTCTTGCAAAGGAGCCGCAACCATAACAATTTTCTGCCTGACAGATAAGCAGGGGTGGAAGATGTATTCTGATCCTTTAAGTAACTGTAGCGATACAACAATGTCAAAATACTTCATTACAAGTAAAGGTTCTTTAATTAAGGTAGTAGAAATTGTACAAGTATAAAAAGTTAAAGCACTTATGCAAAACAATTGCACTGTTAGTGTTTTGTTATATATTATTAACCAGCATGGGGCAATAATGATAAAATCCTCTATCATATACTATTTATCATACATTTTCAGTTAAAAAACCTTATGTAAAATTAAAATAATAATAAATTATGAAAATATAAAATAATTACATAGAAATGTCTGTGTTAAGTGAATAGTGTAGTATTAAATACATGCCAAATCAAAGTACCTTTTCCACATTAATGCAAATATTGTAGACAAATCTAATAAAGGGGGTGACGCCTCAAAGGGCCACAGGTTGGGGTCGAACCTATGGCCTCTGCAGTAACTTAGCCGTGGTACATGGGGCGCCAGCTCTACCAAGTTAGCGATCAAGACCCCCCAGAATAGCTGTTTTAATAAAGCAATTGCAACAAAAGTCAAATAAACTGGGAGAACAATGTTTGCTGTGATAATCAAAGCTTGCAGACTGAGGTTACCTGTAGTTATTTCACCAGCTGATTCCATTGATGAAGAAGAGGTGTGGGGTTTCCATACTCTTGACAGTTTAAATGTTTGATAAAAACGTCTTTAAAAGTTTACTGCACATGAACAGACAGTTATAAGGTTGATACAATTGTGCGTGTGGTCATTTTTAGGCATTAATGTGGCGTTAACAATACATTAAATTTCAGGTCATGGATATTTCTATGTTAACCCACAGTATAGTAACTACAGACTGTCTATGAGTGATTATGTTTTTTAAAACTATAGTTTTTGCTCAGCCCTGTGTACAGATCTGTCAATATTTAAATGAAGTAAAAACTGCAACATTTACATCGACCCACAGTATACTGCCCTACAAAGACAGGCAGCAGTAAAACAAGTTTAAAAAAAAGTAAGTAGGCCTGGAAAAAAAGCTTTATCAGCTAGCTGTGGCCTGGATTTGACTTTCTTGTTTGTTTGGTTGTTTTTAATATGTTATCTTGGAAATTATATATTTCTATGACAAAACACAGTTGATATGTCAGTGTGGCTTTGTAAAGCAGCATATATACATCATCATATTGCCCAAACCTACTAACATGTGTAAGTAGCATTTTTAGCTCAACAATATATAAAGTAGTTAAGATTATCTTACTAACTAACTAACTAACTAACTAACTAACTAACTACTTTATAT